TAGAATTGTTAAACGTATTTTAGTATTTAAACGGTAGATATAGGCATATTTTTATCCCCTAAAAATTTTTCATCTGTTCGGATTTCCTAGCTGAAAGTCAAGTGATCCGAAAATTATAGGGATCAAAACTTACCTTTTCGAAAATTTTAGCCAGAAAAAAGGTTCCCGAAAATTCTAGCTGACCTTTTTAGGGTGAAAATCCGTTAAAAATAGGCAATTATACCATTTTTTAGATGTCCGAAAATCCTAGGAGAGGCAGGCAAGCAAGAAATTTTACAACAAATGTTCCGAAAATTCTAGATCTCAAATCGTCTTCCGAACAGATATTTTTCCGAAAATTGTCGTTGGGTGCCCCTGGTATATAAACGGTACGCAATGAGAAAGTCAAAGCGATTTCTAAACTGGTTATCAGGACACGATTTGCTGGCAGTACTAAAACCTACTCCACTTTTACCTCATGCCAAAATGCTGCTTGTTCCAATATGTTTTGTTTCTGGCGAGTAGATTATGCTCTAGCAAATGTGATATTGGCCGCTTGTTTCACACTGAGAGGTCATGACACGCTTATTGATTTTCTGTGGTTTTTGAATTTCTGGTCTTCATGATTTGCGCTCTGATGCAAGAGTTTTTTCTTTGACCTCTTTTGAAGTGTAAAGCTCTTTTTGTCGCTAAATAAGGCTGTTAGGTTCTTTATATTTGTCCAAAGTGCCTCAGGATCTGAATAACTAAGCGATTTTCTTTCTAGTCCGAGAATGTGATGTTTTCCTGCAATGTTGTATCACGCTGGGCCCAGCTCGTTAGTTTTTTAAATTGTTTGCGGGATGTTAAACTCTCACGGATGAATTGCAGCTTAAACTGAAGCTTCATCAGCTGTGGAGTTCCATTGTGACTCCAGCTTGCTTTTCTTAAGACAATGCGAGTCTTTGGACTGGAGCGACTGTTTGGTTGTTTTGTTATTGTCGGCTACTCATTTCCGGAAGAGCGGTCACGCGCGTCTAATTAGGGGGTGTTTCAGATTTTCACAGTGTTTTCGGGCAGGAGTTTTCTCTTCTCTCTCCCCGCCCCCCTCCCCCCCACCCCCGCTCCCTTTGACTCGCCCTATCTCCTCCTCTCCTCGGGGAGTTTCAACATGGCGCTTTCGCGAGCAAATTGCGCGCTGAAAGAAAACGCCTGCACTGCAGGCTAGACTGCATTTTAAGAGTCTCGCTCTGCTTAAGCAAGCTCGACTAAATATGTTACAACAGTATTGAAACAACCAGATCTACCTGTTGATGTTCTACTTTTAACGGTTAAACGCGGGTATAGGTTCTTATTTTTGTCATTAAGGTATTTATTCGGATTGCAATGTTAAGAATTTAAAAGAAGCTTCTCTTGTGGACTTGGTTAAATTTATATATCGATGCACATTAATATCTATGACTTCTAGCAGAACGTGACTTTTCTTTTGCTCGATGTAATCGGCCGATAGAAACAGGGTCAATGTCCAAAGCGAGTGGTTTACAGTACCGCAAATGGTCCCCAAAATGGACCTTAAAACCTCGACCGCAAAATGATCCCCATTGTCGACTGCAAATAATCCCAAGAGCAAAGTTAGCCTGTGAACAGGCCTTTGGTCAAGCGGGGAACTAGGGAGAGGAAAAGCGAAAAAAGGCTCTCTCTCCCCCTTGCCCTTCCCTTTCCTTGCATTTTTTTTCCCAAACAGAGAGCCTGTTCACAGGCTAGAGGAAAGTCAGAATGGCTCGGTTTCAAATTTAAATACTGGATCATCGAATAAATTTTGCTTCACAAATGCCAAAGCAGGAAAAAAAGAACTCACCGAAAACTACATTTAAAACTTTGTTCCCTCAATGAAACACAAATGAATGCAAACAAGAAAAAAACATAAAGAGTATCAAAGCAACACCTGCAACAAGAAAATAGCTCTTCAACAGCAATGCAGTGTCTTGCTTAATTACTGGTTAACATTAAAGTTCAACTGAACAAAACTTCAACATACTTTACATCAGTTAGTTACAATATCTTTCAGGAAAAATTTCACAAATCTGATGTATTGGAGCATGTCCAGCCCTGGCCATGAAATCCAGAGTTTCTTCACTTCTTACTTAGTTCTACACTTCCCAGAGGTGTGGAAGTGTGGAATAGTCTGACAAAGTAAGGATAATGTCACACTTTCCCCCCAGTCATGAACCCCTCGTCATTCTTTACTTAGTTCCACACTTCTCAGAGGTGTGGAAGTGTGGAATAGTCTGACATAGCAAGGATATTGTCACACTTTCCCCCCAGTCATGAACCCCTCGTCATTCTTTACTTAGTTCCAGACTTCTCAGAGGTGTGGAAGTGTGGAAAAGTCTGACAAAGTAAGGATAATGTCACACTTTCCCCCCAGTCATGAACCGCTTGTCATTCTTTACCTTGTTCCACACTTCTCAGAGGTGTGGAAGCGTGGAATAGTCTGACATAGCAAGGATATTGTCGCACTTTCCCCCCAGTCATGAACCCTTTGTCATTCTTTACTTAGTTCCAGACTTCTCAGAGGTGTGGAAGTGTGGAATAGTCTGACATAGCAAGGATATTGTCGCACTTTCCCCCCAGTCATAAACCCCTTGTCATTCTTTACTTAGTTCCAGACTTCTCAGAGGTGTGGAAGTGTGGAAAAGTCTGACAAAGTAAGGATAATGTCACACTTTTCCCCTGGTCATGAACCCTTTGTCATTCTTTACTTAGTTCCAGACTTCTCAGAGGTGTGGAAGTGTGGAATAGTCTGACATAGCAAGGATATTGTCGCACTTTCCCCCCAGTCATGAACCCTTTGTCATTCTTTACTTAGTTCCACACTTCTCAGAGGTGTGGAAGTGTGGAATAGTCTGACATAGCAAGGATATTGTCGCACTTTCCCCCCAGTCATGAACCCCTTGTCATTCTTTACTTAGTTCTAGACTTCTCAGAGGTGTGGAAGTGTGGAAAAGTCTGACAAAGTAAGGATAATGTCACACTTTTCCCCCAGTCATGAACCCTTTGTCATTCTTTACTTAGTTCCAGACTTCTCAGAGGTGTGGAAGTGTGGAATAGTCTGACAAAGTTAGGATAATATCACACTTTTCCCATAGTCATGAACCCTTTGTCATTCTTTACTAAGTTCTACACTTCTCATAAGTGTAGAAGTGCGGAATAGTCTGACAAAGGAAGGATAAAGTCACACTTTTCCCATAGTCACTAATCCTTTGTCATTCTTTACGTAGTTCTACACCTCTCAGAGGTGAAGTGTGGAGTTGTATGACAAGTCGAGTTTAATGTAGCACTTTCCCTGAGTCATGAGAAGCTCAGTGCGCTTTATGAGCACTTGGCTTTATTTCAGTATCGTTGTTTTACATTTTTCCTTAAGAACTATTTTTATTTTGAATAGAAGATATAACCATTGTTTCAATTCCAGCTGTTGAAAGAAACTTAAAATTAAGAAACCCGATCTCCAACCAATCTTTCTTCCTTATCAGTATGCTTCAACTTTGATCATTGTTAGATCAAGCCATATATCCACTGTTTCGTAGTTTTTCCTCTTATCTAAGATTATGTAAATGCTGAACATAAATTATGAAAAAGGCAAAGTGTCCTCTGTTCATTTTCCTTGTCATTTTTGCATATTTTGACAGCCAAGAGAATTTCTGCTCGCAAACTTCTGTGTCAATCTGTAGGTGGTACACAAAGAGGTCAGATGACAACATCAAAACGTTTGTATCGCTTCATGCTATAATGCACTTATATGCCGCGAAAAGATTAATGACCGCGATTAACTGATAACCTAGTAAGTGATAGGATTAAAATAAATTTGTTCTGGCGGACGACCTATTTAAAAATGAATCTGAGATCGTTCTAGTACTAAAAAAAATTAGCAACAATTGCACACCACATCTTTTCCCTCTCATTACCCCTTCGAGCTCTTTTACGTTGTTTGCGTCGCAGGCGAGCGGCTCGAGGCCAAGAAACCTCGAAAAAGAATTCACCTTAGAGTGACTCTCTAAAGACGAAGAGGAGGGTGGACCATGCAAATATTTTTGTCACGTGCCGTAGAGATAACATAAATATTGCTGACCCTATAACACGCACCTAAACAGTGATCCCCCTTTACCATAGAGCGATTTGCAGGTAGCTACTTTAGACCGATAAGTCACAATTATTACTTTACACAGTACGCTATATATTTTTAGACGAATTTAGGTCATGAACCGTATGTAGGATTATATCAATGACAATTGATCTGAGCATTTATAAACTTTATCAAGTTGATCTTTTAGCGTTGTCACGATCTTAAGAGACCTATTCCGGTCCTATTCGACTAACTCAATGTTGTGCCCAATTCAAATCTCCCGGGGTAAGATTCTTTGTGTATTGTATTTGCATTATAATGTGGCATTCACATTTTTAAAAATGATATGGGAATTCCTGAAGCGAATTAATATATGGCTTTCCCTGCTAGCAGAGGTCTCTCACGACGAGAGTCTCTCTCCTTTCTCTCATTTTTGCCTCGTCGTGAGAGACCTCTGCTAGCAGGGAATATATGGCTCATTAAGATAAAAAATTTCAAACACACAAAACCAAAGATAAGATGATGTTTTTGAGGTTTCCGTTCAAAAAAAATAAATAAATAAATATATAAACGAAGATAAAGGACTGGCGGGGACTTCGTGACAGAGAAAACGTGCTTGTTTTCTGGTCGGGTATTCAAACAGATGGCAGTGAAACAAGGCTAATATCTTCCAGTCACAGAATTGTTGTCTAAACGTAAAAATGGCATTTAAAAAAATGTAAAATGAATTGCAGAAATAAAACCAACTAATACTCACCACTGAGTGTAACTAAAGAAAGAATGTCAAGGGATTCTTGACTGGGGGAAAGTGCGACAACATCCTGACTCTGTCAGGCTATTTCATACTTCCACACCTTTGAGAAGTGTAGAACTAAGTAAAGAACGACAAGGGGTTCGTGACCAGGGGAAAAGTGTGACATTATCCTAACTTTGTCAGACTTTTCCACACTTCCACACCTCTGAGAAGTGTGGAACTAAGTAAAGAATGACAAGCGGTTCATGACTGGGGGGAAAGTGTGACATTCATCCTTACTTTGTCAGACTATTCCACACTTCCACACCTCTGAGAAGTGTGGAACTAAGTAAAGAATGACAGAGGTTTCGTGACCAGGGGAAAAGTGTGACATGATCCTTACTTTTTCAGACTATTCCACACTTCCACACCTCTGAGAAGTGTGGAACTAAGTAAAGAATGACAGAGGTTTCGTGACCAGGGGAAAAGTGTGACATTATCCTTACTTTTTCAGACTACTCCACACTTCCACACCTCTGAGAAGTGTGGAACTAAGTAAAGAATGACAGAGGTTTCGTGACCAGGGGAAAAGTGTGACATTATCCTTATTTTGTCAGACTTTTCCACACTTCCACACCTCTGAGAAGTGTGGAACTAAGTAAAGAATGACAGAGGTTTCGTGACCAGGGGAAAAGTGTGACATTATCCTTACTTTGTCAGACTACTCCACACTTCTACTCATCTGAGAAGTGTGGAACTTGGGATGAGAAAGGAAAGTAGGGTTATTTCACACTTCCACACCTCAGACAAGTGTAGAACTAAGGATGAAAAAGGAAAGTAGAGATCTTGTGGCCAGCGCTGGACATTTGTGGAAACGACCCCAGACATAGGGGTACGGGCAATTTTTTGCCCGGCCAGGAGGGGCGGTAAACCATTTGCCCAAAAAATTCTTGCAAGTTGCCCAAATTTTTACAAAACAGTCGAACAGAAACGAGGGCCATACGATGCAACAACATAGGCCGTACTAGCATATGAAAGTGGCTCGATGCAGTTTTTCAGGGTCAATACCTGTGAAGTTTGGTTGAGCATAGACTACGACACCATAAACAAACATTTGGAAAAATTGCCACCACAGTTGTATTAGCTATAGATAAAGATGAAAATTTGTTATGATCATGGTTGCTATAACATCGGAGATGTCATAGCAACCAAATGACGCCATTACCAATTACACTTGCAGCAACATTTCTCACTGGGAACTGTTCTTCCAAAATCGTTCACGTGAGCATTTTCCTCCAATAGTCGCCTCGATGTTCGTGAAGTTAAAACGGAATCTGTAAGAGCATTGCGGAGATATTTTGCGACAAAGTTTTTATCGTTAGAAATACGGTAAAAAAGGAAAATCTTGATGTTTGGCCGTAATCTGTAGAAAACGAAGCGCTTTTGACATGCAATTTCACCTCATAGTAGTTTCAATCTTTTTAAAACGTGGGTAAAAGTTCATGGAGCTCTGACCATGATGTATCATGGCGCTCGTGTTAGCGGTTTTGTAAACATTTCGGTCTACTTTAACAAATTAGTGAATAATTTAATTTTTAAACCACTCGATAGATTTTTTTTAAAAAAATTACGATTCTTGGCGTAATTCAAACTGAGAATTAGTCGGCCACTTCTTCACTTTCAGACCCATTGCTGATGCTATCTGCCATACACTGTTCTACGAGCGGAGATGATTCTAGAAAGTTAGGCGGAAGTTTATTCTTATCAATTCACGACTGGAAATAGCCCACTGCAGTACAGTGCCCAACAATAAAAAAAAATCAGCACATGATACCCTTCCCTTATAACCAGAAACTCCTTACGTGCTAGGCAACCACTGTCTCGTGTGAATGTAACAGTACTGGATTATTACGCCAACTTCAGGTTAAGATAGAAAATATTTATCTCCTCAAAATAATGATTTAAAAAACACGGAAACGTCTAAAAAACTGATTTTGCCCAAATTTTTCTTGCTGCCCAAAAATCTGAGTTGCCCAAAATTTGGGGGCTGCAGCCCCCGCTCCCCCGGCCCGTACGCCTATGACCCCAGATACAAGTACAAGTGACCCTGAGTGAAAGGGCAACATCGTATTAGGTCGGCAAGGCTTACATTGAGCAATGTTATTGATAGTCTTTATACTAGAGCCCATTAAGCTAAGAAATATTTCAAGACAAGTAAATTTTAATTACCTCAAGTAAAATAAAGCTTCACACACAACCGATTCTTTTTTTACTTCAGGTTGACTTAAGGCTATTTTTCCACCCAACATAATTAAGGTTGATCGACATGTTTCGCTTTTCTCAAAGCTCAAGAAACCGCAAGTCAGCTGAGTCGGTTATAAGGATGGTTTTCAAGTCGGTTGAAACTTTCTTGAATCGTTTCAACTTTCCGACTTTAATGAGATGAAAAGTGAAGTTACTTGAGATTTTACTTAGGCCTTTACACGCGCATTTTTGGTTAAGTAAAACTTAGCACCTCTTAAGTCTTACTTAACAGCCTATTGTATAAAAGACAACCAATTGATACACAAGTAATTTTTCTTAGGAGAATAAATTGTATATAGCTTCTTTGGGAGGCCTCTTCGGGTGCGATTCTGTACCTTCCAGTGACATTGCAATTCTAGTAATTAAGACAGTACTCAAGACATGTATAAATTCAGTGATAAAATGTCAAATAAGAATGACTTACAAGGGCTCACTTATTGAGCTGCCTCTTTTTGGAAGTTATTGGGTCTAAGAGCATGTTTACAATTTGGGCAATCACCTTGTAATCACAGTCAACGTACATCTACCTTTTGGCTAGCATGCACTGAGTATAGACTAGTCCCTTATTCTCCCTGCATGGGATTTAAGAACACTAGGTTTAACATACATAACGCTACAAAGTTTACTATACTCAGAACCTTTCACGCAGAAATTACTCTTTTCCGCGACGGGAATAATCCAACTAGCCCTTCTGTACTGCCCTTTTTAATTTTGTTTGAGCATGTTTAGGTTACGATCGGTACGTACACAATCACATCTGTTTTCTTGCCAATGATCCCCTAATTTACAATTGCGGGTAGAATTAAACAGAGGATGCTTTGCTCTAGAAAATTTGTAATCATCTTTGGTTCGAGCGGACCTGTTCATCGAACAGTTGCTTGCACTTGCTGAGTGTCGGCTCTTTAAGTTTAACTTTAGGGCATGGCAGAAATGCTGCATCCTTTCCTTACTAACCCTAGGCAGATTCTGCGAGGGAATATTGATCAATATTTCTTCGTAGAAGAATGCTTTCGTTCGAGCTTTTACTCTGACTATCCGCCATTTTGAAACTGGACTTTTTAAAAAGTCAGGGAAAATCCGGTAGCCAGGTCCCCGCGCGGTATGAAATTAGGCAATAAAGTCCTTATAAATAGTCGCGACATTTTCACGAGCTGTAGTTGCTAAGTGTATTTCGAAGTAAAGCGAAAACCTCTACAGAGTGATAAATTCAGGGCTCATATTTCCATATTTCTAGGCGTTAAAATAAAAGACAAGCTTCCTGCTTAAAAATATTTTCACAGTAACGAAACATCAAATGCTTGAAAGAAAGGAGAAACAATTGCAAAAAGAAACAGGTTATTTTTGTTCTATTCATTTCATTGTTTCACGCGTTGTTTAAGTTCTCAGCACATTTACCATCAATGCCTAAAATCTATTTCATTTCTCTACTTTTCACGGGATCATTTGCGGTGTGGGGATCATCTGCCGTTAGGGATCATTAGCGGTACTGTACTTGACCCGTCCCCAGTAGTCTCTTTTGTCTCCTAATTAGATATAACGAGGGATGCGCATGGAGAATGCGCGCGGATGGAAGATGCCCTCTATCCTTCCCGTCGCCCCCTTCACCGAGATGCCGTAAAAGTCTCCCGCGACCGTTCCATGACCGCTTACAAATGATAAGAGACGACTGGGGACGAGTCAGATACGGTGCAGTGGACTGGTGTGGCGGAATGGTCATGTCCTTAATTTGGTAGACGTGGATAATCAATTTTTTAAAGATTATGCGGAGTTATTTTTCAGTGATAATTAATCACAGAGTGAAAGAGCTGTTCCAGTGATTGGATGCTTCAATCAGTTATTCTTTGTTCTTTTCATTGAAGAACCTTTTCGAGGGCAAAAGAAAAGAAAAAGAGAGAAAGAACTGGAGAAGGAAGTGGGCTATTCTTAGAAACTGATTCACTTGGCATAAAATTAAATCCTTCATTGCTTTTTGAATTCATAGTAGAAACTCCAAAAGAAAAAGGAAAGAAAAAAAGCAGTCTGAGTCGGATGAAGGTACGCAACTTGTCGCAGAACCTTTTTGTTTCGTAAAACCCATCAGCTATTATCAAGATAGGATAAAAAGACACGATGAGACGGTTGTTAAGCAACCTCGTCCCTAGGGTCTTCTCTCGTTTTTCCAATTTATTGGCGGCAAACCAAAACAAGAGGGTCTTCTCTTCTCTGCTGCCGCCATATTGCCTCACGAAAAGACCCTGGTGATGAGGCCAGGCAGTAAGTGCAACGCTAAGCATGTTTCGCACGGGCCTTGAAAAGTCCTTGAAAATTGAAAAATTGTAGGATATCCTTGAAAAGTCCTTGAATTTTCGACAGAAGTCCTTGAATATTTTTGAAAGCAACTTGAATAAAATAACCTTTGTTAAAAAAAGTGTTTTGCCCAAAAGAAAGATTGAAAGCACAGCAGTTCGCAAATTTTCTTGGTTGTCATGAAAGTGTGTTTTCTTGTGATTTCAATGTTCCTGGCATAGTTTATTTTCCGTTATTTGAGGTACCCTAGGAACCGTGCCTTCCTGGGGGAAGGTATTGCAATAAGCAAACCCCACACCACCTACGAATTTGAAAGGTCTTTACTTCATGTCATTCTATGTCAAGTTACAGGGAAAAGAAGTCCTTGAAAAAATTGCTTTGGTCCTTGAAAAGTCCTCCAAAACTTCTTGATTTTTCCGCCAAAAATTCTGTATGCACCATGGCTAAGCTACCATTCTTTTTTAGGTCGAAATCTGTGCTTTAAAAATGCTTTTGGTCAACTAATAAGCACGAGATTGAACCCTTTTTTAGCTTTTCTCCTTTTTATTGTAGAACATTCAGGAGATAAACAGAAGAGAAAACAAAAGAGTTGACTAAAGGTACGTGACATTCCACATGTACTTTCCTCTACCCTCTAACAGAACCTCTTCTTTCTGTATCAACAGTTTACAAAGCGTAGCCCAGGTCTACCATTCAAAGTTGCTCTGCAGTTCTCTACCTTTATGGGGCGATTGGCGATCTATTGGGTCCTTAGTATCAAGACTCTATCAAATTGATAATTACGATTATTTTTGTAACAGCGAAAGTCTCTGTAAATGACCCCAAATAAAGGTATGACCCCCTCCCCCCTTTGGGGAATTCTTTGCTTACAGGTACAAAAACTCCGTCTACCCGGATTTTGTATCTTTGTAACTGTCTCCAACAGCAAAGGTACGAGAAATGCATACACAGGCTCGTGCCGACCGAGTCCTTTTAAATAGTCACGACATTTTCAAGAGCTGTAATTGCTAAGTTTATTTCGAAATAAACCGAAAACCTCTATAGAGTGATAAATGTAGGGGTCATATTTTTCTTATTGCTAGGCGTTGAAATAAAAGACAAGTTTCCTGCTTAAAAAATTTTCACAGTAACGAAACATCAAATGCTTCAAAGGAAGGAGAAACAATTGCCAAAAGAAACAGTTTGGTTATTTTCGTTTTATTCATTTCATTGTTTCCCCTTTTTTTCGAGTTCTCAGCATATTTACCATCAATGCCTAACATCTATTTCATTCCCCTACTTTTCACGGGATTATTTGCGGGCGACAATTACCGTAAATGCTCGAATTAGCGCCCGGGGCGCTTATTTAATTTTCTAAGGCGAGAGCGGGGCGCTAATTCGAAGGGGGGGCGCTTATTTCGTTTATCAATTTTTAGCCTCAAAATGACACTATCTTTACCGAAAATTGCCTCGTAATTCCAGGAACTTTTAAGGCAGTAACAAGGAGCCGGCAATTGGGAGCAAAGTTTTACGAGGAACTTAATAAAGAGAAGCAGCTATGTGCTCACATGGATATTTCTATCAAGGAAATGGGAAGCAAACCAGTGCGACTTTGAAAGGACATCAGAGACCGTAAACGTCTCGTATATCGTACCGAGTACCGAAACTCATTTTTTTCTCGGGGGGGGGGGGCGCTTATTAAAAATTTTGAGCCTTAGGAGGGCGCTAATTCGAATTGGGGCGCTTATTTGAAGCTGGGCGCTAATTCGAGCATTTACGGTAGGTTCATTTGCCGGCGACAATTGGCATCATTTGCGTTCGGGGATCATCTGCGGTTGGGGATTACTGGCGGTACTCTACAGTAGACTGGTGTGGCGGAAGGGCCACTATACTTAGCATCATAATCAAATGCAAAGGATGCATGTTCTTAATTTGGTAGACGTTGACTATCAATTTTTTAACGATAATGGGGAGTTATTTTTGAGTGATAAACACAGTGAAAAAGCTGTTCCAGTGATTGAATGCTTCCTATTCTTTGTTCTTTTCATTGAAGAACCTTTGCGAGAACAAAAGAAAAGAAAAAGGGAGAAAGAACTGGAGAAGGAAGAAGGTACCCACAACACTCTCTTTATATATTATATTGTCATACCTTTTTAAAAGAACAAGACTTTATTTTGTCTTGTGATACTCAATATCAAGGGTCCTTTTTTTTCCTTTAATTTTATGACAGAAGAACCTTCAGGAACAGAACAGAAAAGAAAAAGGTGAAAAAAAAGATGACTGATCAAGGTACGCTACATTCACTACTTTCATATTTTTAAAAAAGTTTGAGTCGAACATCCCTAATTTTGTTCTGTTAAACCTGCGATCATAAACAATGGAAACAGGTTTCGGAGAAGACCCACGAGATGGGTGCGTCTACAACACAAGCCTTTAATCCCCCTTTTCATGGAGTGAAATTTTGAAACAGTTTTCCGGAAAAACTACGACGTTACTTACCTATATATTTCCTTATTTTGTCCAAAAACAAGAACTTGAAAAGCATAAGAACGTAACAAATAAAGTTTGTTTTCACAATACATGTCTGCTTCCAATCAACCATATCAGCATTAACAATGTCAAAAAAAAAATAATAATATGACACATTGTTGCTGGGAAAGTGCGGCACTTTGTCGTCGGCGACGCTTACTATACCCATTATTTGAGTGGTCCGGGATGTTTGTGACTTTATAATAGTGGCATATCAAGTGATTTACTTGGCATGAAATTAAATACTTCATTGCTTTTTAAATTCATAGTAGAAACCCCAAAAGAAAAAGGAAAAAGAAAAAAGCAAAAATCACCGGAGTGGGATGAAGGTACCCACCTTGTCGCAGAACCTTTTTGTTTCGTAAAACCCATCAGCTATTATCAAGATAGGATAAAAAGACACGATGAGACGGTCGTTAAGCAACCTCGTCCCCAGGGTCTACTCTCGTTTTTCCAATTTATTGGCGGCAAACCAAAAGAAGAGAACTCTTCTCTTCTCTCCTGCGGCCATATTGCGACACGAAAAGACCCTCAGTGGAGACGAGGCCAGGCAGTAAGTGCAGCGCTAAGCTACCATCCTTTTTTTAGATAGAAATCTGTGCTTAAAAATGCTTTTTGTCAACTAATAAGCACGAGATTGAACCCTTTTTTAGCTTTTCTCCTTTTTATTGTAGAACATTCAGGAGATAAACAGAAGAGGAAAACAAAAGAGTTGACTAAACGTACGTGACATTTCACATGTACTCGATCAGGTTTTTGCAAAATCAATTCTATTTTGTATTCTAATTTTGAGATATCTTCGTTTCTTCACATTGTCTATGAAAGTCAACAAAATAAGCGCTCTCACATGTTTTCCTAAGTACGCATGCTCAACACTTGTGCGTGCGCTGGGGTCACCTGATATTACAAAACAGAATAAATTTCTACAGACAGAAAGATAGAAAACTTTCTTAATATGTCGGAGCCGTATAGGTTGGGAAAAACCCCATACTAATAATGTATTACAATCTAATGAGAATCTAAAATGACTGAGAGAGAATTGTAAAATTAAATGATTACGATGAGCAGAGAGAACAGCTCTTATATCCATCATCTATCATTGAGCTTATGTCATTCTTACGAACTCTGCTTTTACAGTCAACTTCTAGCCGTTTTTCTCAGCTGGTCCTCAGATTTTTTCTAGAAAATTCCATTGACTGCATATCTTCTCATAATAAAGAAGTTAACAGTAGATTCAAGCGGCGAAACCTTTTTTATTTACCTTTTTATTTTTCTTCACATTACGTCAGTCTATTTTGCGCACGGAAACAACTGCGTCAGTGAAATTTCTCAGCGCGCCCAATTCTGTCAGAGAAACTGTTTTCAGCTACCTTAAGCTAGAGACAGAGGAAACAGAAAATACCGAGCTTAATTTGTGCTTTCCAAAGAAAAACGTCAACTTTCTGGGTTTTTTTTCTATGTAGTATTTTTGTTTGCTCCTTTTCAAAGAAATCAAAAATGGCGGTGTTGTGGACTATGATTTGGAAAGGTTATCAACAGAACTTGGGAAATAGTGGGAAGCCCTTGCGAAGCGCGAGAATTAGTTAATGAAGCTAAACAACGACAATTATTATTATTACTAGAAATACGTATCTCGCAATAACTCTCGCGAAACTCGGTTTAGTAGCGGCACTCAAGTTAGGCACTGTCGGTCGGGGTTAAGAACTGGATGGGTTACCTACCGCGAATATCGTCGTGAAGGTCCATACGTTGTTCTTTCTTTTCTTCTTCTTTTTTGCAAATTGTGTGGTGTTATTTTTAAAAGTGTATTGAAAAGCATATTTAGCATTATTTCGGCCTCCGGATTTAGAAAAAAACAAAAACAAAGCACAAATATGGCCCGGTGCAGTTCGCATGAAAATTATTCAGTGAATTATTATACTTCGGGCCGTAGTACAGAGCTGAAACTTTGCAGACTTTGATCTATATATCGGCGGGGAAACCGGCAAACTAATAAATGTGGGTTTTCCACAGTGTAAAACGATCATAATGCCTCTGATATTCAAGTCCTCTGTTCCTCTGTTCCTCTGTCTCTTGTTGTCGGCGTTGCCTTCGCTGTGCTAAGAGACGTTCTCTCTGCTCCGCGGTTTCTCGTTGACGTCTTCTCCTTCGCTGTTCACGCTGAATTTTAAGTCGGCGTTTTCGCTCCAGAGGAGTTTCGGTGGAAAATCTTCCTCGGCGAGAATTTGGGCCACTTGTTGTGCTTGTGTGTCTTTTGCATGGGAAATTGTTCCTGATTCACTGATGGTAAATATTGTTTCACAAACGATGAATAAACACAACAGCCTTTCATGAATAATACATGAAAATGCGCCTTGGTCATCGGCGGCAAAGTCTATGTTGCCTGGAAACGCAAAATGCTCCATGACGTCATTGGCGGACACCAAGCATATATTCATAGAAAGATTTACTACTTCGGCGGAGCGCGAAGTAAAGGATTCGCGACGTCCAGGAATGTATCAAAGTTGACATTTTTAGGACAAGATTGGGCACGCAAAGTCTGTAGGTTTTCGGTTTTATTCGGCTATTTGACGAAGTGAGAGCCGAATTAGTCCGAGATATCTCGGGATCACTTCGATTTTTTTGATTTATTCTTTAACTTATTCGAGGAAGAAAGAATTATTATTTTGGCTTTCCCGGGGTTTGAACCGACTCACCTCTGTGACCCAAGATTGGGCGTGCAAGTTCGTGACTTTTCGGCTTGTTTCGGTTATTTCACGAAATGGGACCGGACTACTTCGTGATATCTTAAGATCACTTCGAGTTTAGTCTTTAATTTACTCGAGGAATAAATAGAGGATATTACATTGCCGCGCAGAGAATTGAAATTTCTCTTCGAGTGTTGAAAAACATTTCACGAGTGAGCCCTCCTTTCGAACTGTTTTGTGATGAATTTAAAGTTACAAAATGCTGCACAAAGAAGTTTTGTCTTTGTTGAATGTTACGTAGTAAAATTGCTTTCATGCGTTGCGTGATTTTGTCGAACGTTCTCTACGTTTTTGGATTATTCATGAATAATTAATTAGGGCATGTTTACATTTCAGCATGAGTCAGCAGATTTGCATCAGTTACTGAAATCATAAAATATGTGGAAAAGCTACTACCATTCGCCTGTTTAGTATTTTCTAGAGCCTTATGTCAAACGGTATACAAGTTCCAAGCGAGTTCTTTTGACGAACTAAGTTTCTTCCCACAAGTCTGGAGTGCTGTGTTTAGTCAAGTGTGACAAAGGTCGATTTTTCAAGTTGTGTGTTTACAAGTTGGCGGAAGTCGTAAGTTATCTGAAGTTCAAGTGAGAGTTTGTCATTATTGGCAGAGGCTGTTCAGTTTTACTTAAGTTCAAGTCAAGTTTGTGTTGGCGTATGCTGTGTTTTAAAGCTCTGTAACGACTATGTTCCTTTAGTATTAAACTTCCTTGTGTTAATCCGACATCCCTGCGTGCTGATCGTCAGTGAATAATTATCCTCAAAACATTGGAACTCATAACATTGAGTTTTAGCCAATTCCATGCTCAACGTAATTGACTCCTTACCCATGCCTCACATATCTTTAATCAGTACATGAGACTGTTGTGCTGTTTTTGAAGTCTGATGTAAGAAAAATAGAGAATTTTTTTTTACTGTTTGTTTTGTTAGACTTGTTATTCACCGCCAGTAACCTCATATTTGACTTAGGTCTAAACGTTTAGACCCAAGTCAAATTTAGAAGGATTTGTATGGAGTCATCAGAGCATAACTGGGCTAATATCTTAGAGACAATTTGCCCCGAAATGCTAGTTTTTGCTAAGTAGGCCTCTTGGATGTTGCTCTTTCCAGAATATCCTGACAAATCCCACAATTTCACAAATCAACACCTTACTCTTACCATATTTCATTTCTTACCATTCCTCCACATTTACAGTAAAATCAATCAGTTCTATAACCACGACGCCGAAGTGTACGCTCCATAGCGTCTTGTTTATTTATGGGCATCGGATTTTGCAGCTGGCTGAGACCACGCGCGGTCAGTAGACTGTGCGCGCGATTCGTGCGCGACGAGATAATAAAGTCGCTACGCTCGGCGCGATTCGCTCGGAATTATTATTATTATTACAAGTGATATTGGTAAAAGTGAATTATAATTATTTTACACTATATAAAGCTTCGAGTTTAAACCTTAAAAAGCTAATCCTACGATTAGCTTTTTTGTCTTTCTTCGGTGCCGCATATTTATGCGACGAAGTTACGGTTCGAGGTTGTCCGCTATAGTGAGAAGTGATTCCATTTGCTTTTATTGAAATGGATGGCTGAAAATTGATCGCTCTTTTTGATATACAAATCATGTCCAGTGACATACAAATCAAGTCAAAGAGAAAGTAAAATCAACTATTACAGCTGATTCTTAAGTCGCGGCCAAGCCGATTAATAAAATGGATTTACAAAGAGAGATACGAATTGCTCTTACTGAAAAGAAAACAACAACTTAATAACAGCCTGCAAACCACTAAGCTGAAACTTATGTCATGTTAGGCCCCTTTCAAACGTGGAATTTCTTATGAGTGCCGAACACCTATTTTAGTCGATGAAAGTAATTAAATACGGCAGTTGATTTAGACCTCGGATATGAAGGTGCCGAATTTAACGCCGTTTGTTGTCACTATTCCCAGTCTCTAGGAAATTTTTTTTAGTCAATATGGAAAGGGTTTCTATTATTAATGCATCGTATTCGGCACATGTGAAATGCGACTTGAAATGTTGACTTCAAATGTTGAACCTCGAATTTAATTTGCAGCTGTCGAATTTAGTTGATTCAGACGTCCCGTCTCAAAGCAGTTATAACCTCTCGAATCAAATTAGGCACATGTGAAAATCGACGATTGAGCTGGGTAATGATAACAGTGTCCAGCATTACTAAAAATACCGGTAGATACGCTAGGATACATACCGCAAGGATGATCTTTTTCTTTTCTTTTTTTTTTTTTTCAATTCCTTGTAGAATTAAATCTTTAACTGACCGAAGCTAGACGTTCAGCTCACAATAAACCCATGAATACTCTTTCAGGCTTAGTCTATGAAATTTATGAATTATCGATCGCACGGCTACCCGACTGAATCGTATGACCGTACGATTCTCTCCCTGCTCGTAAGGTGTCTTTTCAGCGGTCGGGGAAAACATTAAGACAACATTGTTCATCGTTATGTCCATTATTTTAGGTTAGGGTAGCAAACCATTTGGCTTTTAGGGTTAGAAGAGCTGCTACATGACCTCTTTTCCAGGAATGAAGAAAAACAATATGGCCGCCAAATACATCCTCTTAGTTTTTAACGTTCTCCTTTATTAACAAACGGTGAACATGTATTTCGGCAAACAAACAGTTAAGTTGAAAAAGGATTTTACAAAAGTCTCAAAAGTAGGTCTCCTTTTCGATTTTAACTTCCAATATCGGTCAATTTACGCAACTTTTAAACTTCTGGCACACTTTTCGTTTGGTTCTAATCTGAAAATGGAATAATAATTACTCAGAGACAATACATGTACAGTGTAAAGAATTGTTGTGAAAAACAGCAAAAACCTGTCAATTTACGACAAAAAAGTACTTTAAAAACGAACTAAAACATTCAAAACGCTTTGATCACGTGACTGATGTGACGTGACGTCATGTCCCTCTTTTGGTCATGAAAAAAATTATCAGGTAGAACATTACTTTCACGCAAATTTTCTCTGCCGTGTGATAAAAGTTTGAGACTCTACAGCCCTCGGCCTAATCTCCCGACTTTTTCGCTCATGTCCATTACCCCCTTAAATTTTAAATGCCGGACGTCAACTGGTTATTTTTAAATGGCCCACGCAACGAAAACCTCAAATATTCTATTTGTTTGTAACTCATTACTGAAATGTTGTCACAGCAACAAAAAAACCTAATTCGGAAATAGTCACGTGACTGATGACGTCATTACCTTAGATGTGACATGGGAAGATAATTTATGGCAAATGTTATCTTGTTGTGGTCTGATAGTCTTTTACGTATAAAATTGTCAAAGTTATAAAGCGTTTTAAAAAATTGCTTCAAAGGATTCTGGGAGAAAATACGGAGCTTAATTTTTTCTTTTCTTTTTTTTTTATTGTTTTCCCCATAGTCACTGAATCACTGAAAACTACGAGTAATCCACCAGAGGTAACTGTTACTCTTCTACGGAATGAGGATCTTCCGGGAAAATCAGTACTTCTGGATAAGCGACAATTGCCAATCGACATTTTGCTTTTGACGGTGAAGGATTGGGAATTTCTAGCTTGTATTTCGTGTTTCAATCGCGACTTCAGTAGAAGTTACTGCAAAGAGCTTGGTCAAGACGTGTACCTAGGCAAAATTGGGAACGATGACATGATGCTAAAGATCGCTTTGGTGAATTGTTACCCAGGATCCACCGTTCCACAAGGATCTTGTTTTGCCGTAATGAAAGCAGTCGAAGTCTTGAAGCCCAAAGCGGTATTCATTGTGGGTTGCTGTGGTGGCGTAGACCCCGCAAAAGTCAAACTTGGGGACGTGGTAGTGTCAGTGAAACTGACATCATATTCCTACTCCAAAGTCAAGGACAAAGGCATTACAGAACGTGGTGTGAGAGTTCCATTGCAAAACACTTTTTCAAAACTGATGCGAAAAGCTGGTCATGGCTGGCAAGCCCCACTGAAGAGTCCAAAAGAATTTGAGGTCAAGGTGCGCCAAGGAGTGCCTCTGATTGGCCCAGAAAGTGTTGATAGCAGTGCGCGGCGCGAGGCACTCAACCAACGCTTCCCAGAAGCCGATGCTATTCTAATGGACGGCGAAGGTAAGATAAAAAAAATTGCAGCTACCTCAGTGATATGTTATCATCTAAAAGTAATAATGCTTGAAGTCTCAATTGGCAGGGTGTGAAAATGGTTGTCTTACCCAAATTCATTGGACTGAGGTTTTAAGTTGGCATGTATATCAGGGGGTGTATCTGTATTAGTGCATGAAATAGTTGAAATCAAATTAGAATGACAGTGACTGTAAATCTCGGTAGTCTGCTTCTGACTGCCTGTCACACGCCTTAATAGTTTCTCCTTCGTGTTGTTCGGATTTGAGCACCATCTATTCGCAGAATTAAATGTATTTAACAGATGTATTTCTGGGCAGAGGGAGTTGGGCAAGCAACCTTAATCAATCGAGGTTTTAATCTTGTTTGGCCTTTCAAAAGGGATGTACTATAAGGGAAGCTAAGGGATCTCCGTTTACGGACATTGCCGTTGTTGGATCTGTTTGTCGGTTTTACGTCTAATACGACTTGTCGTTTTCCTGTTTTAAGCGTTCAGTTTTCAGCCAACTTCAAAGCGATTATTCGGATTTGTGTTCAGAGCAGGAAATTTCGAAAAATGTTTTATTCGGTTTGCACTTTCAACCGATTTTTTTTCTTGGAGGTGCTGGGGGACGTCTTTCATCGACGAACGTATGATATGGGTTTACCTCGGCGTAAGAACCTGTGAACTTTTTCTTTCTTTTCGCGTCTTTTGTTTTTCTAAGTTCTTTTGTGTTGACTTCTTTGTTTTCTTTGGTTCACGTCACCCGTGAGGTTAACAGGTTCTTACACCGAGGATGAACCGATAATATAACCCTGCCATGGAAACAAAGGTCCCTCAAGGATTGATGCTGAGATCATAAGAGAGGGAAGATCATAAGAGAGGGAATAGCATTGCTTATGACCAGAAATCTGTTAAAGTCATGTAACCGGCCATCCCTACGTGAAACTGTACCTCTTGTTTCTATGTTCTTTGGACAGGAACCTTAAACCAGTAGGGGTTGAAGGTGGTTTGAGGGCAAGTAATAAGCAAAATCATAACTGCCTTGGTGCCCTACAAGTTTATGCACGCCACAGTGTAGGGTTTGAGGTCGCTCTAGTATGTACCGTCCCAAAGGGTATGGTTTTTGTGCCGTTTTGGTCTGAAAACGGGTATAGATTTTGCCCATTTTGGTCTGGAATCGGGTAGGGTTAACGAGGGATTTACGGTAGTCTATGAATGTGTTCGTCGTTTCGATTCCAGATGAATAAGAAATATAATGTAATATGCGAATTCGAATTACTGTAATTACATCCTGCTCTCAGCAAACTTGTAAATTCGTAGTTCTTGGGGGCTAAAATCTGAATTTAAGTCCAAATTTAAGTCAAGTCACCCTGATTCTCCTTGAGCTTTAACCAGGACTTGTCCGAGATCTACCAACCGATGCTAGTAGCGATTTAACTACACATATGCGTTTTTCCTGCACTTATCGTGAGTCTTTGCTAGAAAACCCCTGTCTTTATAATTATTTTTATATAGGTGTTTATGCAGCGGCTCAAGAGCTGGGTATTCCATGGACTATCATTAAAGGCGTCTCGAGCTACGCAGATGCAGGATTGTTTGAGCCAAATCCTTGGAAAACGTTCGCGAGTTTAATGGCAGCTTCCTTAACTGCTCATATTCTCAGTGATCCTTTTATTTTCAGAGACTGGCCTCACTATCTAAGTACAGGTGAGTATTGGATACCGGCCGAGAGACGTTTACTTTGTCCCATGCAAATACTCTTTTCAATGGGCTAATTAGTGTGCTTCTAATGATCTTACCAAGGATCCTCAAAAAACTTCGCCAAGATCTTATGAACCCTGGCAGATCCTTGCAAAGTTCCTGAACTTCCTTTCAAGATCCTCGTAGATATTTGATTATCGTCAAAGATCTTGCGGGATCCGTTTCGGAACTATCCATGATGATGAGTCACGAGCAGATATTATGCTTTAATAATTTTCATTGAAAAGCTCAGTACAAGATAATCACATTCCAGAAAAACCATAACTTCAACAAAACAAATAGATATTGATATACGCGTCCAAAATTACAAACAACAAAAATTCCTAAACATATATGGCTAATAAGTTATTAATTAATTGAGTCCTAGAGTATTTACTTTTTGCCTTTTTTCAAAGCATTCGAATATATGTTTTGCCATTAGTTTTTGTATTTTAGCATTTCCGCTAGGGGGGTTTATTAGAAACATGAATATTTTGTTAGGTGACATTCTGCTTATTTTTATTCTATATTCTTTTTCCAAATAATTTAGTAAGGAACATCTTTTTTCCCAGTAAGCAAGGCATATATTTAGAGAATGGTATTCGTCCTCCATTTCTATTTTACAAATTGGGCAAATTCTTTCTGCAGGTTTCTTAAACGGTCTCGAATAACGTTCTGTCTCTATGGCTAATTTGTGGTTACCATTAGTCGCAATTTTGTTAGAGCTATTCTGTATCGCGTATTGGTGACCTGATGTAGGTAATCTTCACATTTGTAATTGTCTATCGTTTTGAATAACCGGTAGGTTCTCATTTTGTTGCTTTTGTTAGCATCTTTTCTGGTGTCGTTATTTATTTCACTTAACCATCTTTGTAGTTCGATATCCTTAAGTCGTTGCCTGATCAAGCAGTTTACGATTCCTATGTCCGCATAGTGTGCTTTCCTCCAGAGTTCTTCTAATCCTATCTGTTCCAATAAGCTTTTGATTTTTTTTGCTCCAGAGAGCTTTATTTTCATTCCATTTAATGTCATTGTATGCTATTTGGGATAATTTGTTTTCATTTCTGGTTAAGGTTAACCAGAACTTAAAGTTCCTACATTGGGCTTCAATTCTCATTGGGAACCTTCCTGTCTCAGCCCTGCACGCATTGTTATTGCAGTATTTATTAACTCCCAGCAACCACTTTAGGAATTTATTTTGAACTAATTCTGCTCAATCTGCTGGATCCTTCTCTAATTGTCCATTGCAATCAATCCCCCACACTTCACTCGCATAAAAGAGTATGGGAGATATCAGTGCATCAAATAACTTCATTGTTAACTTTTTATTTTCTCTGAGGTGGTCTCCCATCTCTTTTCGTAATTTAAAGAGTGCTTTAAGTGCAACTTTCTTCAGCTCTCGCCTAGCGAGATTAAAGTTTCCAAAAGGACTCATTTTGAGTCCAAGATATTTGTAGGATTTGACGTTTTCCAGTTTATCGGCGCCGTATCTGAACAAGTAGTTCTTTAAAGACTTACCACAGTTATTAAGAATCATAATTTAAATCGGCATTTTCACAGAACTATTCCAGCTTATTAAGGATTATTTGAAGGCTTTTTGCTGATCTAGAGAAGATCACTAGATCGTCCGCATATAAGAGACAATTTGTAATGGTAACAGGACTGAGTGGAGGCCAATTCGGTCTGTAATCATACGAGTGATTAACAAAATCGGACGACCGCGTAGCGGGAGTCCGATTTGTTTAATCACGAGTATGATTACAGACCGAATTGGACGACACGAAGTTCTGTTACCAGTTAATCATAACTTTAACAAAATTTGTGATATAATAGGCTATTTTTTTTTTAAATCAAAACACAAGAAATTCGAAATTTTGTTTTGCTAGCAGTGAAAAAAAAAGCCATTTAAGCTCGCGCGTGATGGCGCGTACTGTCTAATTACTTAGGCATGACGCGTACTGTCCTATTAAACTGTCCAATTAAGGCTGAAATCAGGGCAGTTGATAGCCAATCAGATTTGACAATTTTGTTATAATTATGAATAATATATTTATCACTTAGCATAATGTCGGTTGAACTCGCCGTATTTAGGAATTTTGGTAGATCACTTAGATATAAATTAAAAAGAGTAGGTGACAATTTAACATGCAACCTTGCTTTACCCCGGCATGACAAGTAAAGGATTCGGTTAATTTGTCATCAATTTTAACTGCCGATTTATCATTTGAGTACATGGATAATATATAGATTTAGCCAGGGCTAATTGCGAAGCTCCCATTGATAAATTTATAACTTAAATCAAACAATAGTTTTGTATTCCACAAATCAGTTAACTTAAGGGCACATTCATGTGACTTTTGATGGAAAAGCTAAGTTATTTTGGAGTGAAACAAATCTTGTATCGAGTTGATATAGCCTTATATGTACACCCAAAAACTAGTCTTCGGTCACATGTAAGAGCAATAATGGCTCTTGATCACAGTAGATAAGGCGTGGAAAAAAAATTCTTGGAAAACAAATCAAGCCGAATTTTTTGCGTTCGATAAGTTTACAATTCTTTCCAATAAATCTGGGTGCGTGCAAACCAATCTTTTATTTTTTTAATACACCACATCTGAGGAGAAAGAGTACTATGAGGCGCTGTTTTTATCATACAGACCTCGTACAAAACGCAGTATTTCACAATTTTTCAAGACAAATTGCATGCATTCAATATTCAGGACCATCGAAGAACGCGTGGACTTTTTAATTTGCGAAACCGTTCAAAAATTTCCAAAATCACCTATACGGCCAGCCGGTTCTAACTTTTGACAATCGCCAACTTTGCGAAGAAATTTTAAAAGAGTTACGCTTCAACGTGATAAAGAATTTATTGAGTCTATTTTCTATTAATGGTTTTATAACGATGTGTAATCTTAAAAAGCGTTTGTTACGCTCGGCGTTTTGAGCACTCCTGCAAGCGATGTTTATGAACGGCTGAAAACAAACGACAAAGTGATGAAAATTACACTTTTGAGACTACCAACAATCAATAAGTAAATATATAAATCGGTAGAACATTTACAGAGACAACAATTTTCATTCACGAAAACAAATGAGTATTTAAGTGTGTCTAAGAATCCTCAAGTCTTTACTAGTAAGCTTAAAGATTAAGTTTATGTTTTAAGCCGCCGGTTTCCCGGTTTTTGCTGTTTTCAAAGATGAACTCACGACAAGAAAATCGCTCAAAGCCTTCTTTCTACTGAGCCAAAATTATAACTAAATATTCTTCGGAAAGTTTTTTCTTTCTATTTACGGTGAATTAATATCGACTAAAGGTTTTTTAAAGTTCTGTAAGCTTAAGCTTTTTTCAAACTAAACCTCATACTAGGTCAGATCAGTGTCTCAGTCAAATCTTAATACAAACGTGCATAAACTAGCTTCATAAATTGCGCCGCTGGACTTCATGAAATTAGATATAAATACAATAATGACTCAGACTTACCATATTTCGAGATGCAGCTCCTGAAAGCTATCAAGTAAGGCAAGGATCGCTTGAGCCTTTATAATTCTCTTACGCATCCAGCAAGGTGAAAAACAAAAACGATGCCATCCAAAATCGGATTATTGGCTTTGACAAGCGACGCATTTCACAACCAAAAACCCAATAAACAAACCAGCCATGAATAAGAGAACACTCTTGATAGCAGCTGTATTTCATTTTGTACATCCAGTGGAAAAAGACAGTTAAAAACATCACAAGTTGACTCAAAACTCTGTCAGCTTCAGGTGTCAAAGGAAACAACTTTCAAGATGCTGCATAAATTTTACGCATGAACTCACCTGTCAAATTTTAACCAATCAGAGCATAAAAATTGGACGTAGAGCGTGACCAACGCGTGACCATGGTAAGAAAAGGTCTTCCCAGCCTGTATTTTTAAATAACTGGCTAATTTTCGTGTCCGAGGTAAGTTTGAAGTAAAAATCTTAATAGTGCTGGGACATAGTGACATAAACAAGACATATTTCCTCTAAATTTTTAAAACACAAACTTGAGCCTGCGATCATTTGAAAAGTAGTAACTTGTCAGCGGATAACTTCAAAAAATACTCGACCTCGATGGGTCGACACCTGAGCCCGCGATACCGTTAGGTGATACTGGTCAGCGGATACCCTGTGTTGACAGCTGTCAATTGATCACTGCATTGATGTGCAATCAGTTTTTTCCTGGGCTCCCAAACTAGCTAGAAAGTGCGAGAGTAAACATTAGTATGCCTGTGGTGCGGACGGACGGTCGTTCGTTCGGTGTACGGTCACGTGATAACCAAATTTTCTGGGATGGGTAGATTTACTTAGCTATGGGGCTCCGCCCACGCGCGCGCGTGGAGCTCCGCTATTAAAACGTCTAGGGAACGTCCTTGGACACCTTCTTTTCTCAGTTTGTCGAATAGTTTTTGTCGGGGTATACAGTCGAAGGCTTTTCTAAAGTCGACGAAACATGAAAAGAGTAAATTTCGGTGCTTCTGTGGCTTAGATTTCTCGTACTTGTCAATAAGCGTTTTTAATGTGAAGATGCTATCAACTGTCCCGTGCCTTTTTCTGAAACCACCTTGTTCAGCTTTCAAAATTCCTTTTTGAACCATGTAGTCGTACGGTAGCCTGAATTTCATCCGATTACTTCGAGTTGTTATTACTCCCTCAGTAACGTCTGAATCGACCAGCCGTTAATGCCGTCCAGTGACGTCACTACTCCTTGACCTTTGCTTTAATTCATACAAAAAGTAAAACACGATTTTCAAGTGGCAAACCGAGAAATATCGTTTGGAAATGTCTACATGATACAGAATTGCTTTTTTTTTCGATTGTAATTCATGTTTAACGTTCAAACGATCAACTGCATGCAGTACAACTCTGAACCGGTTGTACTGAATTCTATAATCAAACTCGGTCGCAATCATGCAATGAAATAAACACACACATGAAACAC